CACCGAATAGCTATCATCTTGTCTAGATGGGTCTGGTGAAAAGAGATGGGGATAAGATTCGTAAGATTCAATAGTGAATAACTGTTATCATGACTAATTGTGACTGTCACAATTGGAAAGGTAGAAGTTTTGTAACAAAAATAGGGGAGTGGTTAATCTTACAGTCCCAGAACCAGAGGACCCTAGGACCATCAAGAGAGGAATGCACAAATAGAATGCGGGACCTTATCCAGAGAAGCAGCAGTGCCAGAGATGGAGGCAGAGATGGGGGCATGGAGGGGGTTGCGGCTGAGGATTCTAGATTCATCAACTGAGAAGGACTAGAGCTGGTGGCCAGGAGCAGACTTGCAGAATGTGCCCTTTGGAGATGTAAATTGTTCTATATGCCTGAGTGGTTTTTTGTTTGTTTGTTTTTATAAAAAGCTAAAGTGGGTAGAGAGAGAGAAATACTGTTAACTGATGGTACAAGGAGGGGTTTATAATCATTGTAATGAAACAAGGTGTATGATTTGTTGAATGTAAAACTGATGATCTGCCCTGTAAACTTTCATTCAATCCACAATAAAAACCTTAAACAAACAAAAGGTAAACGTATACAGACAAATATCAGTCAAGTACTTATACGCCAGCAATGAACACCCCGAAAAGAAAATTAAGAAAACAATTCCATTTACAACAGCACCTAAAAGAATAAAATACCTAGAAATAAAATGATCAGGGATGTAAAAGACATACAGTGAAAATCATAAAACACTACTGAAATGCTAAAAGATATTGTTTGGTCTTTGGACATTAGTGTTCAATACTTAATTAAAATCTGTTAGAGATGGTCTGTAAATTCAGGATGAATATTCTCAAGGTTCTATTCTGGCCCTGGTGGACTAGCTTTCATATTGTTCAGTTTCAGCTTGATGTTCCATGTGAGAAACTGATGATCTGTTCTACAGTAGGCCCCTAGCCTTGTTCTGACGGATATTATTGAACTTTTCCATCATCTTTCCAAGATGTGATCAACTTGATTTCCTCCTCTTCAAATTGTAATTCACAGCATAGCTGTTGTTCTTGAGTGCCATGGAGTTGGTTCCAACTCATAGCGACCCTGCACAGGGCTTCCAAGGAGTGGCTGGTGGGTTTGAACCACAGACCTTTCGGTTAGCAGCCCAGTGCTTATCCTTCCCAGCACAGTAAACAGTGCTTCACCTCACTAATGCCTAGGAGATCGATCTATAAGTTGCCCATTTCATTTCTGACAACTTTTCATTTCCCTAAACTCATACATCCCACATACTGATTATTAATGGATGTTTTCATCCGATTCGTCTCATTTTGAGTAGTGCCACATTGGCAAATCAAAGTCCTGGCAGCTTACTTCACCCACGTCATTACAATCCTCTCGATTTCTAGGAGGCAGCTCTTCCCCAGTCATATTTCCAGTGCCTGCCAACCTAGGGGGCTCCGTTTCTAGCACTAGATCAGACAAGATTCCAAGGGTTTCACAAGCTGATTGTCAGGTCCTCTGTCCTAGTCTGGAAGCTCCAGTGAAACCTGTCCACCATGGGGGAACAACCCTGCTGGTATTTGGAATGCTAGTGGTAAAACTTCTAGTAAGCTCCTACAGTAGAACAAACTAACAGATGAATGGTGAAGAACTCCCACATGACCCCCACGTTCTGCTCCACGACAGATCCTTGCATCTTTGATTATTTTTCCTCCGTTTATAACAGTCTAAGCCTTTAACAGCAGATTCACTCCTGTCTGAGACCTTTAAAGCCCCCTTAGACCTGCAGTACCTCATTCCCCCTACTTTGGGACCCATGCAGAGCATCACCCAAACCTACTACCTTTGGGGAAGGATGAATTCCGGAGGTTGTGTCACCAGGAAGCTCCCCGCCTGCAGTTCCATGTGTTCACCACTGGTGCCTGGGCTTTCCTCCATATACCGGCTCTGAGGGGTCCCACTGGCCGGGCCAGTGAATCCTGTAGAAAAGAAATTCCACAACTCACTCATAGGAAGACGGCGCAGGGGCCACGTCAGATAGAAGACACCACACGGTGCTCAGCCAGTTATGGGCCACGTGGGCCTGCCTCTCCATCTGCTGGGGGCTCGCTGTCTCTCTCAGAGAAAGAAAAGGGTACAACCAGCTACCCCAACAGCCCCTCCCTACTCTGCCACTCTTTTCCTTCCAGAGACCAAATATGGTTGAATTTGTGGACTTCAGTTTCTACTCTTCCATATGACACCCTAGCACACCTCCTTCCTGCTCACCGCTAAGGAAGGTGTCACACACGATCACTGCCTTCTTTCCTGGGCGCTGCAACAAATGGCTGAGCCGTTAGCCCTGGGCCCTTTCCACTGACTTTTACTGTGGGTTTTACTAAGATTTCACATAGCTGTAAGGTGTCACCTCCTTTCCTTACCCTTTGACTTTCTCACTACATAAAACGCTGAAAAGAGGATGTTTCACTCCTAAAGACAGGCTACCATGGATTGGCCCAAACCTGAGTGGACAGAAACAGGAGAGAAGTGAATTGAGAATCTAGGTCCATTTCTTCCCTGAGCCTAGAGGACTCTCCTGATCTCAGACAAAATCAATAGACCAGCGTGGCTTTCACCATGTCCTCCACCAGCATGACCTCCTTTGAATGAAGGGACTTTCATGAGTATTTGTTTTCCTCTAGTCTCCCTTCCCTGGAGAACTTGAAAGTTGTTCTCAGATAGAGGTAGTAATTTAAACATATCTGGTTCAAATTTAACCATATCTGGTTCAAAAATAGTAAAACAATGTACTGTATCTTTTCCTCCAAAAGAAAGAGGAGAAAAAAAGCTGCAAGCCAGAACAAGGAAGAGTGCAATGGGAGGGGTAATGTGCAAAATGCACAGTCTGCAGATTTGGGAAGCAGTCAGAACTTTACGGCTGGAAGGACCTCTGAGAATAAGCTGGGGCACAGGGCAGGGACAGAGCACTGGCCACTAGTCCTCCCGAAGGAGAGATTAGTGGGGGACCAACAGGGCTAGACTCAGAGACAAGCATCTATCACATTTTAATGCCCAAGAGAGTTACCAGGCAACTACCTCCAAACACAGCAATAGGGTCTTCATAGAACAAAGTCAGTCACCTCCTGGGGGAACCATTTCACTCACCTGCTGACCTCCTGGTGTGAGGGTCAGCTCCCTTGTCCTAGAGTGGAACCCACCAGTGACCAGTCCACTCAGGCATTCCCACCAAGTCAGCATTAGTAGTTGGTATACACAGGTAAGCATTCATCTCCAAAGAGAAAAGAAAATGGACAGCAACAAACAGAGGGGCAACATCATTCCCCAGAAAATCACCTCTGGGGAACAGGTCTCCGGGGCTCTTCCTCCTCCTGCTCTAGGTCCTTCTCTGTACAAGCAAGAACACACTCCACGGCCTCAACAGTCCCTCCTTCAAACAGTGAAGCAGACGTCACTTAACGTTTCAAATTAGGACTGTAGCAAAATGTGTTTACTTGATACGGTTCTTCTATCCAGTCTTCGTAACTCCCACCAATTGACTGGCTGGGACCATGCAAATAGGGTGCATGGGGCTCAACTCTTAAGTCGGGAGCTGGTCAGTTTTGCCCTTCTCATGGGTTTAAAAGGAGCCATCTCAGAAGCAGGAACAGACGATCCCAGGACCACCAAGAAAGACGAGCATGAGCGGAACACGTACTTTGGACCCAAAGATCCCTGCACAGACAAGTGGTGGCAACATGTAGAGACAGAGCCGCCGGCTTCCTGACCCTGTGAATGAGTAAAGCTGAGTGCTTTTGGACAAGAGTCTGGTTTGTAGAATTAGGTGTCCTTTGGGCATTCCTGAGCAAAGCTAAAGGCTTCTAAACATATGAGCAGGGCAGAGACCAAGGGCCCACATGACTGAGAGGCTGGGCACCAGAGACAGGCACGTTCCTGACCAGAGACCTGCCGTATCTTGAGTTGTTTCGGACCCTTAATTGCATTTAGTTCACTTCTCTAATAAGCCCCGTAACTGCAAACCATTGTGATGGATTATCAGAGAGCTAGTGAGAGATGTGGGAGGAATGGCCACTGTCCAGACAGAGGAGAGAAGGTTGGAGGGTGGACGCATGTCCATCCTCTGCCCCACAGTAATCAGCCCTGGGCTGAATTGGAGTTTGATTCTCCTTCCCCCTTGGGAAGCCAAAGGAGGTCAGGCATGGCCACCACACCGTATTTGCAATGACCTTCAAAGAAATACAAGATATTGCATCCATCAATAGGTAGCATGATCTAAAAGATGGACAATTCAGAGGTCAGGAAAGAGTTTTGAAACTTAAATTAAGAACTATCAAAGGAAAAAGTACTGAATAGATTCAGACTTTTGAAAGACAGAATTTAAGAAACAGATTGAAACACACACACACACACACACACAAAAAATATATATATACATATATATGTAAGAAAAAAAGTAAAGTACTTGGGAGAGTTCAAGGCATTCCAATATCTAAATAACTTTTGTGCTCCAAAGAGAAGGCAGAGAGCATGGTAATGGAAGAAATGACAGGTATTTATCACAGAAATATTACAAATGTGGAGATCTCAAAGGAACCCTTAGTTCTGTAAACCAAACGGCTTAAAAGCAAAACAAATCTAAAATATCCAGAGTCAGGGACATCACTGTGAAATTTCAGAATGCAAAAACTGAAGGAAAAATAAATAGAAACTAAAAGCTCCCACAAAGAGAAAAGAGGAAACAGCACATAATGAACATCAGACATTTCAACAACATTATCTAGTACACAACAAAGATGATCCCTTCAAAAGATTTCCAACTCAGAATTCCATTCTGTCAAATTGTCAATCAACACTGAGGGCAGATTACTCAGAAAATCTTATCTTCCCGACACCCAACCAAATTCACTGAAAATGTTCCTTAACAAGACAAGGGAGTCATGAAGGAAAGATCTAAAATGCAGATGACAATGAAAGGGCCTCTCACGATGATGCTTCCTCCAATACCATTGGCTCTTCATCATTTGCTACCTCTTGAACAGGTTGGACATCGACCATTTTTCTTTTTGGTACAGTGACTCTGCCTATTCCTTCCATCTATTTTCTGCATCATTCAGTATTTTCCCCAAAGAATCCTTCAGCATTACCAGTCAAGGCTTGAATTTTCTCCTCAGTTCTTACAGTTTGAGAAATGTTGAGCGTGTTCTTCCTTTTTGATTTTCTAACTCCAGGTCTTTTCACATTTCTTTATAATATTTGACTTTGTCTTCTCAAGCTTCCCTTTGAAATGTTTTGTTCAGCAAATTTACCTCCTCATTTCTTCCATTTGGTTTATGCTGGAGAGCAAGTTTCACAGTCTCTTCTAAGAGAGCAATTCTGCTGCCAAGACCGCTTTCAAGTGGCTCAGGAGCCAAGATGTCAGTTTGAGGACTAAGGTGCACCTGACCCCAGCCATGGTATTTTCAGTAGTCTTATATGCATGTGAAAGTTGGACAGGGAATAAGGAAGACTGTAGAAGAATGAATGCCTTTGAGTTCTGGTGTTGGAGGAGAAAATTAGAGGTACCACCACTGCCAGAACAACTAACAGATCCATGTTGGATGAAGTGCAGCTAGAATGTTCCTTAAAAGCCAAGAGGGCCAGACTTCGTCTCTCATACTTTGGACATATTATCAGGAGGGACCAGTCACTGGAGAAGGAAATCATGTTTGGTAAGGTGGAGGATCAGAGAAAATTAGGAAGACCCCCAACGAAATGGATTGGCCAAGTGGCAGCATTGATGGACTCAAGCGTGGCAACAGTAGTGAGGTTGGCCCAGGATCGGGCAGTGTTTTGTTCTGCTGTGCATAAGGTCGCTATGGGTTGGTACCGACTTGATAGCACTTAACAACAACAACATAGGGTTTCCAAGGAGTGGCTGGTGGGTTTGAACTGCCAACCTCGTGGCTAGCTGGATCCTACAGTGTTGATCCTACAGCGCTACACCCACATGCAGATTTTATTTAGCAAAAATTAAAATAAGAAACAATTAATGTATTTGTGGGTAGTTTGTTCTGGGTGTACTCACAAAGCACAGAGCCCCGTGGAAATCCTGCCCCCGACCACGCTGCTGCTCTCAAACAAGACCAAGTCAGAGCCACAGTCAAGGCAGGTACCAACGGCTCTGTCCCGTGCAGACTCACCTGCCATGGCAGCATCTGGACAGGGCATCGGGAAGCCCAGTCCCTGGCTGTGGACTGCCTGCCCAGTCTGGAAAGAGGTTTCCCTGGAAGACGCCAGCGCAAGGGACATCAGCCATGATCCGGGGGTGTCTGGGGATGGGTCCACCAAGGTGCTGCCAGCAGCCAGAGGGCAGAGGCCAGGGCCAGGGCAGACAGAGTTGAAAGTGATAGGGTCTTGGCTAGGTCCCTCTAGGTATGTCTCTCCTCCCTGCAGAGACCTGTAAACACAGCAAACACCATCCCTCAGTGGGCAGAGACTGTGAAGGGGCTCTGGTAAGTCTGTGAAAGTGGGTCCCATCTCATCCCAGTCACTGATGGCTGTGGGACCTGAGTCCATCACCAGCCACACGGAGGTCCCTGTCCTTCCTGTGGTACATGGTGGTTCTGGTGAGCCAATCCATGGTTGCTGTTAAGTGTTGCTGAGTCAATTCTGACTCATGGCGACCCTGCACAGGGTTTCCCAGGAGTGCCTGGTGGGACCTTGCAGGTAGCAGTCCGGGGCTTACCCTACAAGAACTAGTCCACCATAGAGGCACTTAATAATGTTATCAGTGGATATCTGAAACACGTGAGCAATTTGATTTACCATGACCTACAACGAAGCATTGTTCTTCAATCTTGAAGCTGGAACATGATCTGCCATCTAGCAACTGAGTCAACATAAGGGGGGGCTGGCTGATCTTTAAGGAGTATCAGGCAGTGATGAAAATGAAAAGACTTCATGTTCCTTGAATGTTCAGATCCCAGAGCCTTGGGTTAGAGCCACATCATCTTTGCAGATCTTGTCATTATCCCCATTTCACAGGTGAGCACTACAAGGTCAGGAGAACGTGCCCACGGTTCACACACTTGGGTGGTGCTGGGCTTGGATGGGAACCAAGGCAGCAGGTGTGAGAACGTTCCATGGAGAGCGAACAGATGAGAAGGCAGTGCAGTTAGACCAGCTCTGAGAGCACAGCAGCTAGCTAGCGCCTCTTCACGGGCAAAGAGGGGACACCCACAGTATGTTGGCAGTTACTCAATGACATCTAAAAAGAAACAGAGTCCTGGTGTGGCGCTGTACGTTAATGCGCACCACAGAAGCCCTATAGAGGGTTGCTATGGGTCGGAACCGATTCGATGGCATTTAACAACCACAGGGGTCAGTAGACCACAGTGACTGCCGGGTGACCTTTCAGAGGCTGGCTGGAGTTTCTCTTTTCTCTACATTCCGGTTTGGCACGCTAGATAATGCACTGGACCATAAGGTTGGCGGTTCAAATTCACCAGCTGCTCCTCAGAAACCCTAGACCAGGTCACTTAGGTCAGACTGACTTGACAGTATTTAACAACAACATCCCAGACAAGTCAGGACCAGGAAGCAGGCTTAGAGCTGGGGCCACGGCTCCACCTGCTCCTGCTGGTCCTTCCAAATGACCCGTGACCACAGCTGTCAGCCACTGCCATCTCCCAGTCAGTATCTGGGGACCTAGACACCCACCCCCAGGAGAAGAGAAAGGGGCTGAACAGGGGAGGTGCCTCTCAGCCACGGCAGCACGGTACCTGTGAACTGGTGGTTTCGAGAGCATCTTGTCTCCAGGAACGTCCAGAGCGAAAGTCAATGGCACCCATGGTCCTGGGGTGGGCTCTGGAGACCATGGAAGCCCCTTTTCCTCATGTCCTGTTAAGCAGTACAGCACAGTCAGATGGGGAAGCCCAGTAACACCCAAGGCCTTGCCTTCCTCTCCTCAGATTCTAGCTGGGTTTCCCAGCAGGGAAGAGTTTGCCCCAGGAGCCATTGTCTTTGGTCTGAACCAACAGTCCACCAGAAACCCAGCAAACACCAAGCCTCAATCAGTCCTCATCACTTGCCTGATTCCTGAGGCCTGTCCACACACTGAGGGTCAGCAGAGAGGTCCTGTGAGACCCTCAGGGACTTCCGACTCATCCCCCAGGCACTAGGGTCTCTGGCTGAGGTCCTCCGACTCTGCTCGGCGTGTTGGAGAAGGGCTCTTTGGCGCCGGCGGTAATTTGCAAACCAGTTGTAGACCTGCTCTGCCGACAGGTTGGTTTGTGATGACAAGGCATCCTGCCAGAGACAACCGAACCCCTGAGCTCAGAGGTGGTGCCAACCATCACTTCCATGGGAAAGAGGCCAAATCCGCTCCCACCCCTTGGGGTTCAGGAGAGTCCGCTGTGGCATGGGAGGGGGGCCTAATCCTCCTGCTGTGGGCGTACCCCAGTGAGGATGGGGTCTCATGTCAGAAGCGAACCCCAGAGAACAGTTGCTGCCATTGTACCAACCAGACTCACCGTCCCGGGAGAGCCCGAGAGGAGCTGGGGGGCTGCACAGGACCCCTGGGGTGGCTCACTCTTACCCGCTGGGCCTTGTTGGGGTTGGGGCTCACGTCCAAGGCAAAGTCCTTCAACTTCTGGCGAACCTCCCTGGGGAAGTTTCTGCTCCTCAGGCCCTCGGGACAGAGGGAGGGGGGCGGAGGGTTCCTGGATGACCGAAGAGAAGGTCTCAGTATCGGAGCTCCAGACCCCCAGCCCATCCTCCCCCCAGGGCGCCCTGCCCTCTGAGGAAGGGAAGCCTCGCTATGCTTAGTTCGGGTAAGATGACAAGTTCTCTCCCCACGGAAGCAGCTCACACTCCAAGGGCCTTCATTGTGCCCCATCCCCACTGCAAACCCAGAACACGAGTTCGGTGCTATGTACCTGCCCCTCTCCCACAACATGGCCCCGGGACCCCTGGGACAGCACCCCAACTCACAGTGTGCCCCCAGGTTCCTGCCCCTCTCCCACACGTGGCCCCGGGACCCCTGGGACAGCACCCAAACTCACAGTGTGCCCCCAGGCCCCTGGCCCACACTCCCCTACTGCCTCTCTCCCACTCTCAGGCTGTCCCAGGCTCCTTCCTGTACAGTCCCCTGGCTGTGACAGACTTGTCACCAAGGCCTCAGCCAGCACGGCTCTTGGCTCTGCCCTGACTGGAGGGCAGTCTTCTTTCAGAGCCATTTTTCTCGTGGTTATCGGAGGACCGCTCTGGGCATCTCCCTCCCTCAGCTACTACCCACGTGGCCAGTGCCTCTAGAACCAACAGTCTGTGCTGCCCACCCAGCCTAGAGCAGCCCCTTCCATGGCATCCTCATCCTGACACCTAGGGAGTGGTCAGCTGAGGAAGGGGAGGTTAGTGTGTCCCAGGCCTGCAGCCCATCTCCTCTGGGTCCTGTTGGCTGCTCCCTCCCTGCTCATAGGCATGGGCATGATGGTCACCCTTCACTGCCTGACTTCCCTCAGCCTAGGGTGAGCTTGGGTGCTCCCAGCTGGTCCCAGCGGTGCGTGTCGGCCTGGCTCACACTGCTCTGCCGCTGCTGGTGTGCGGTCTGACCAGTGTCCCCACAGTCCTCTCTCCCAAGTGCTCTGGGCAGCCGCTGCGGAATAAACATACCTCTTCCTGCATCGAAACTTCTGCACCGGAGTCAGCGTGGCCACGCCCAGCTTCCTCTTGACCACGTGGTAGTGGATGTCATTCCAGAGCTGCACCAGCTCCCAGCTGCCTCCTGGCACCTGGCACCCCTGCCGAGGAGAGGCTGCCTGGGCTGCTGGGCCTGGGATGGGTGGGGTTACCACCCATGCGCTGGCAGAGGTGTCTACAGAAGAGGAGGGGGCCGGGGGCCAAACCCACTCTCACTGTCCTCCAGTGGAAATCCCTGCCACCCCTTGGTTTGACTCTGAGTGGCTGGCCACTCACGCTGCTAGCTCTAACCCTGTGACCATCCTGTCCTCCCAGGACACTGAGGAGACAAGCACACTTTCCAGTCACACCGCAGGAAGACTGGTCGCCAGCGCGCAGTGGGTGCTTGCTGGGTGGGAGGAGGACTCCAGTTGTGCCAGCACACACGCACTCACCCATCACCACCAGGGAGGATAACGTGCTGCCCGGCTCCAGCTCCCAGCCCACAGTGGGAAGTAACTCCGCTCACTGCAGCCCGCTGCCCTGGACTTACCGATACTGACCAATGTGTTCAGAACCCGGAGACCGTTGGCACTTTCCCTCCCCACATCAGAAAGCTCAGACCCCACCCTAAGTGATTGCAGCACAGTATCGATGGGCCACTGTGGGATCTCGCCTCCGAGGGTCTCTCTCTTTCCTGGAGCACCCCCCGTGTTTGTTCCTCGTACATTTGTGCAGATTTGAAATGCTCGAGTTCTTTTCAGGCATCAGTTGGAGTGGTACCAACCCCCAACGAGCCTCCTGGGACCAGTGGGGACTGGTGGGCAGGAGGTGCAGATCAGGGGGCATCCTGGCGCTGAAAATCCCATGGCATGGGCTGGAGCCAGGGGACCATCCAGCTCAGATCATGGCCAGGAGAGCCAGTCCAGAGTAGCGCAGGGCAGGATGGGCCTGGGAGCAAGGGCTGGCCCCCACCCTCGGCCTGCAGAACCCCAGAGCTGCACTAGAGCATGGTTCTGTGTCTCACAGGGGGCAGGACCCATGGGGGTACCATGTGGGCAGTGCCAGGAGTTATAGGGGCTGATCTTCTTCCAGGCTGTGGGGTGGAAAGACTACACAGAAATGTTACAGACAGCTACTTTGGGGGCACCCCCTCTGACACCATCCACCAGCCACACTCCCTGTGCCCTCTATCTACACCACCATTGCTAGGTCCAGGTGCTACTCTGGCCGGGCAGAAACTAGGCTAGCATCTCCTCCCTCATGGGGACTGAACACAGTGAAGAGGACACTGGATATACACACAGACAGGCACACGAGGAAGCTAGCTAGGGCACAACTGGACAAGGAAGGGAGCTGCCTCCATGGGGTGGTAGGGAAGGCTCTGAAAAGGTGTCACTTGGCACCAAACACAAAGACAGTTCTGCAGAAGAAAGAGCACCTGTAAAGACCCTGAGACAGGAAACATCTAGATGGAGGTCAGAGGGCAAGGCAGCACCGCCACTGCGGAGACAAGGCAGGGCAGACAAGGCGGGGCGGCCAAGGGGTCTGGACATGGACAGACGTGAGGAGCAGGAGAGGAAGGGCACGAAGGAGTGACCAGGAGGACACTGTGCAGAAAGAACAGGCTGGAACTGAGGTGTGTTTCAAGGAAAACTCAACACGAGTCACTCAGGGGGAACCAGGTTGGGGGAACCAGGCCCGTATCTCTTACTCGAAACCCTGGATATTCTGGAATCCAGAAGGTTTCAGATTTGGGGAAGTGAAGGAGATGTGTAACCTTCACAGCCCCAATGTTATTTGCATCCTGTCCCCAGACATACAGTTACTAAAGAAGCAATGAGTATAACAGTTCCAGTTAGTGGGAAAAAAGATCATAAAAATAACTTCATGCCAACACAGGTCAGAGTCTGCTCCACATGCCACCAGGTGAGTTCCAAAGATACTGCCAGTTTTCGGGGTTTTGGATAAGGGATCAAGGTCCTGGGCCTGCTTCCCTGGTTGGCCTACCGAGGAGAAGGCCAATTCTTTTCGAATTAGACTCCTTGTTTTCAGTTGCTGGTGGAGCGCCATGTTTGATACACATCAGATCACCAGACTAGACAGAACTGAAGGAGTGGAGGCAGGGAGGAGAAGGCTCTCCCCGGAGCTAGCCCCTTCAGGCCTTGTCCTCCCCCCAGAGACGCCTTACCTCCAGGAGCTGGCAGGCCAGCTGGTGTTGCTCCTGCCCGGCCAGGACGAGTGCGCACATCAGGACCACGTCTCCACTGTTGAGCAGGTACAGGCGGAGAGGACTCCCCAGAATAGCCTCCACCAAGGGCTCTGCCTTGACGAGGTCATCCTGGAGGTCCCGGCACAGCCTTCCCGCCAGGGCCACCAGCTCTTCTGAGGGGGGACAGGTGGCCCTGTTTTCACTCTCCTTCAGCAGTGTCAGAAATCTCTGCATCCTGCCTCAGGCTGGCGCCCACACTGCAACAAAGACCATGTGCTCACAGCACGCACAATGGCACGTCCCTCCCGCCAATCGATCCTCGCCTCACAACCAAACACCTGGAGGAACAAGCCATGGCACCACAATTTCCTTTCGCTCCCCAAGCTGCGTGGGCACCAGGCACTGGACCGAGTCCTTCCTGCCTCATCATTCCCATTTCTCAGAACCTTTGGGTCCCTGGTGGTTCCGGGAACCTTCTTGGGTATCAAGTCCATAGACTGTTAGCCTCCTCCACCTGGCTTTCCACGTCCACACTACACTACGCCGGTCTGATTGTCCTCAGTCCCTGGCTCAGTGAGGTCCAGGCTATGCTGGGCTTCTCTAAGACATTCCGATTTTTGCTAGGGGGCAGCTGGGGCTTGGGCAACACCCGGAAATCAGCCCTGGGACCTGACGCATGAATGCAGCAGTCATTAAGCCCATCTGGTTTGAACTATTTTAAGTTGCAACAAAACTATTCTCATTGGAAAAACCAAAAAACCACTAAGACGTAAAACGTGCCCTGGCCCCACAGTGTACACAAGACAAGAACAAACTGAGCCTGAGGCTCTGCGGGTAGCTTTCATAGGACCTTTTCTCCGAGGTCCAAGGACCAAATCACCTGCACACCCAAAGCCCACACTGCTGCTTGCCGAGCGGAAGGCAATTGGCTATGGCCATCGAGGTCCCTCTGGTTTGCCTGTCCCCAATCCTGGTCAGCTGAGCTCACAGACTTTGGGAACTGTGGGAAGTTGATGCAAATTCGTATGTAATTCTGTACCCATTGGAGTCCTGGTGTGGCGCTGTGGGTTAAGGCGCCAGACTGCAAAGCCACGTCGGCGGTTCAAGCTCACCAGCTGCTCCTAGGAAAGCCTATACAGGGTCGCTATGGGTCGGAACTAACTCGACGGCACTTCACAGCAACAAATGTCCCCACTGCCATGGATTCTACTGGGCGGAGTCAGCTTGTAGGATGGCGGCCAACTGCCCGCCAGGGTTTCCTAGGCTGCCATCTTTGTGAAAACAGCCTGCTACATCTGTCTTCTCAGGGTTTGAACTAGCAACCTTAGAGGGAGCTGCCATGGGACGCTAGACACCCAACTTGGAAGCCAAAAGACCGATTGCTGAGGCCCATCCTCTAGCTAAGGGCCCCTGCACGGCACCCCCGGGCCGCCCGAGCCCCTCCTTTCCTCACACCTGGTGTGTGCCCCCATGCCCTCCCCTCCTCACCCAACTTGAAGCCCGGCTCAGAGAGGGGGCCCTTTCCCGAGTGGGGGAGGCGCAGGCTGCACATGCTCCCCGGATCTCGGCCCAGGGCTCCTCAGCCTGCGAAGTTGACAGAGGAACAGAGCAGAGGCTCCCCCGAGGAGTTCAGATCGGGACCCACTCACCTTTGGGGAGCGTGCTGTTCCCCGGCCCCGTGCCTGGCTGCTTTGCTCTCGCTGGCCCCCAGTCCTATCCCCGCCCCCGGCCGCGCACGTGCTCTGGGGCCGGCTCCGCACCGGCGGCGCCAGGACGGGGCTGGCTACAAAGTGTCGGATGGCCCTGCTCCAATCCTGAGGCGCCGCCTCTCACCTGTGGGGGAGGGGCATCACACTGCCCAGGGTGCAAATCCCCCCTTCCAGGCTAGGTCCCCACCGGCTGTCCCCAGCTCTCAAGGCCTAGTTTCCCTGCTCTTGAGTTCTCAGGGCCCAGAAGGGGCGCTGTTCCACGAAACAGGGCCATGCACAGCCGGCCCTGCCATGGGGGCGCTATGACCCCCTGAAGCTCAGGCAGGGGGAAGTGTGACCTTTGACTGACCCTGCCTCGCCCTTAGGGCTGGGACTTTGCTGCGGGGTCATGACCCTAACTAACCCAAGATCCACACTCATGGCCTCCCTCGGTGGTCCGAGATGTGCCGTGTCTAGTACCTACACCTACAGGAGACCCTGCAGGGATGCGTGGACTCCCACCCCTGGCTGACACTTCTTAAATCCCCAGTGAACCAGGGAGGGGTGCCAGGGTCTCGCTAACCTAATCACTCCCATAACAGGTTCGGTAAACACACACCACCAGCCTCTCCTCGTCGATTTCTGGCACCAATCAGTTGCTAAATTGTGCACAGGAAGCAAGATGATGTTCTAGAAGTGTGAGATGGAGAAGACTGAAGAAGAAATAAAGCCTTCATAGTTTATGCACGTTATTGTCGTTCAGGCGGTGGAGTGAGGCTGTTCTGACTCAGCGCACCCTCTGCAGAGCCCTGAAACCCGGCCCGGCTGGGTAGGAGTCCTCTGTGGCTGGCTCTCGCAGGCTATCTGGTTGAGGGTTTTTCGGTTTTTTATCTTTGACATTTTACTAAGCATCATGCCCTACTCCAGGGACTGCCCTCTCCTAATACTATGTCCCAAATATGCGAGACATAGCCTTGTCGTTCTTGCTTCTAATGTGCATTCTGGCTATACTTCCAACACAGACTTTTTTTCCCTGGAAGTCCATAGTATAGTAAATGTTATTTGCCAACACTACAGTTTAGTTCAAAGGCAGTAATTTCTTATGTTATTCTTAAGAGCCATCGAGTCAGTTATCATTCATATTGACCCTGTGTAGGGATTCCCAGGAGTGGCTGGTGGGTTTGAACTACCGACCTTACAGTTAGCAGTCCGGTGCTCCACTCAAGGGTTTCTGAGACTATAATCTTTTTCAGTGCAGGAAGCCTCATCAATCTTCCAGCTCAACCTGTAACCAACCCACTATGCTCCCAAGTCTCCCTTATTCATGGCCCAACAATCCATGCACATGATGCAACTGAAAATACCATGGCTTGATCAGGCGCACCATAGTCTTCAATGTGGCATCTTTGCTTTTTAACACTTTAAAGAGATCTTTTGGCTCATGCAGTAGTGTTAGATAGCAAGAGCAACAATTCAGTGTCTGTTCAAGCACAAATCTGGAAATAATTATGGAGCCTGGTGGGAACTTGCTAAATAAACCAGGGGTCCTACAGAGGATAAGCTAATTGGAAGGTCAGTAACGACTGTACTGAGGAAAATGCTTATCAACCTTGGGGATAATGGCAGTATGTTGTTGTTGTTGTTGTTGTCAGGTGCCATTGAGTCAGAACCGACTCATAGTGACCCCATACACAGCAGAACGAAACAATGTCCGATCCTGGGCCAACCTCACTACCGCTGCCACACTTGACACCATCAATGATGCCACCTGGCTGATCCATCT